CCTTTGAAATTTCGCTCCTGCCCTAGGATCACTAGAAAGGGAGGAAAATCTACCAGGGGGGGGGGGGGGTGCTTTTTGTAAATAAAGCCGGGTGAGGTTCCAACATTTTCCAATTTTTTTGGCTTGAATTCACTTTAACTATTAAAGTAAAAAATACCCAAACAGTGTCAAAAACAAAATTTTAAAATTTTTACTGGTATGAAATATTTTTAGTAAAAATTACTGGTTTAATAAAATGTGAATTTTTACCAGATACTCTAACTGTTCCTGTTTTTTTTGTAGAATTGTATTTACAAAAAACCCCTTCAAGCCTTTGGTGAAAAAACTCCGATGCAAGGTAAGTAACAAGAAGTCATTTTTTAAAAGTTTTATACATTATAGAGAGGATTTACAGTACTTTTGAACTAAAACCAAAAATTTTATTTGATTCAGCCAGCAAAAACCTAAAGTGCATAGTGGTATATTTGAACGAAGTCACTTTTCCCCTAGGAACCGGGAAATGTTTTGGCAAAAAATAGCGTGGACTTCGTTAACTGTAAAATTTTTAAAAAGCATGTAAATCCAAAAGAAACCTTTTTTTATATTGTAACTAAAAAATTTCTTAGATGTGATGGCTGAATTAGTCACCTTTTTTTGTCTTCCTTTTTTCTATTTTCATCGGCCGTAAGTCTTTTTTTTAAAATTTTCCCAGCGATTATCAGTTAAGGTTGGAAAAACTGTTTACTATGACAGGGGTGCTTACGATGTCCGTTTTTATTTCTGTAAAATTTTTACCCAAAAAAGGAAAAAAAACTTTTGCTGTAAGTGCTTATAAAGTGGGATGAACTAGCAGATTTAAATAACACACAAAAATTTAACCCAATTTTGGCAAACACTTCCCCCGCCAAAAAAAAAAAAAAAAAAAAAAAAAAAAAAAAACCACATATAATCTTTGGGTTTAACAAAATATACTAATTTTTTGGGTTTGATTTGAAAAGGGTACTTATTTTTTGGGGGCGAAAAGATTAGCAAATAAAAAAAAAAAAAAATATGCACATAAAAAATTTCAACTCGTATATTGTAAATGAATGTTTTTTCAAAAAGCCTTTCCTTTTAGCTGCAGTGCTGTTTTTTTGTAAAATGTAATGCAATATGGCTACCTGGAGGGGTTTGTACACGAGGTGTACAGAAAAGCCCCCTAAAAATGTCATTCCCTACTTTTGTATTGTCCCGCAGTAGGAACAATCAGATTTTTTTGGGCCCCCTGCAACAAAAATGTAATTTTTGGTGAGATACTTTTCCAAAAGGGAAAACCCGCCTAAGTTAGGGTCACACCTATCATTTTTCCCGGCTTTTGCAGAAATGCCAGCAGTCCATTTAACAGATCTCCTATGGGAAGGTTTTACACTCCGCGTTTTCACCTGGTAGTTTTTTGGGAAAGGGGTCAGGGGCTTTTTTAAGAAAAAATTCGCCAAAAATGAGGGCGTGGGGGGGGGGTGGCAAATTTGAGATGAGCGAAGTATTCAAAAATTCGGATTGATGATTCGGCGAATTCGTAGAAAAAATTCGAATTCGAGCGAATTATATTCGCTGTGAATTTAACTTAAAAAGGGGTGTTTCTAGGCTTCAGAGACAAAAAATGGAAACCACCAGCAGTGTGAGGAGACCTGAAAGTGGCACATGGCAGAGTGTGGCGATAGAGACAGCAGCAATGGGAGGCCGTACAGGGACCCATGACACACTCTGGACCTGGCAGCAGCATGAGGAGGCGGTACAGGGGCCCATGACAGATTACGGGCCTTGGCAGCAGCTGAGGAGTCGGTACGGGGGCCATGGCAGATTACGGGCCTGGCAGCAGCAATGGGAGGCCGTACAGGGACCCATGACACACTCTGGACCTGGCAGCAGCATGGGGAGGCCCGGGGCGCATGACAGATTACGAGCCTGGCAGCAGCAACTTGGACAGGAGGACGTTCAGCTTCTGCACCGTCGGGTGCGTGCTCGCAAACTGTTGTCTCTTGGAAACGGATTCCAAGAAAGACTGCTGACGGAATCCGTGAAGAGGAGTAGCAGGAGAAGGAGCATCTGAACGAGCGGAATATGCCAACAAGCGACAACAGGGGCCCATGACAGATTACGGGCCTGGCAGCAGCATGAGGAGTCGGTACGGGGGCCCATGGCAGATTAGGGCCTGGCAGCAGCTATGGGAGGCCCGTAATCTGCCAGCACCCTATGACAAAAAATGGAACCCACCAGCAGTGTGAGGAGACCTGAAAGTGGCACATGGCAGAGTGTGGCGATGGAGACAGCAGCAATGGGAGGCCGTACAGGGACCCATGAGAGACTCTGGACCTGGCAGCAGCATGAGGAGGCGGTATAGGGGCCCATGGCAGATTAGGGGCCTGGCAGCAGCTATGGGAGGCCCGTAATCTGCCAGCACCCTATGACAAAAAATGGAACACACCAGCAGTGTGAGGAGACCTGAAAGTGGCACATGGCAGAGTGTGGCGATGGAGGCAGCAGCAATGGGAGGCCGTACAGGGACCCATGAGAGACTCTGGACTTGGCAGCAGCATGAGGAGGCGGTATAGGGGCCCATGGCAGATTAGGGGCCTGGCAGCAGCTATGGGAGGCCCGTAATCTGCCAGCACCCTATGACAAAAAATGGAACACACCAGCAGTGTGAGGAGACCTGAAAGTGGCACATGTTTGGGGCATGATTCATGGCGGATTTAGTCAGTTGTGTCAGGAACTGGTGGTTTGAAATCCAGACTAATCCACGCCTGATTCATTTTCACAAACGTGAGTCTCTCTCTCACACTTTGGGTGGACAGTCGTGTCCTCCGCGGAGTTGCAATACCTCCTGCCGCACTAAACACGCGCTCCGATGCCACGCTACTGGCCGGGCATGACAGCCTTTCAAGGGCAAATTCAGCTAGTTGGGGCCAAAGGTCAAGTTTCGTTGCCCAGTAGTCAAGGGGATTGTCTACCTCGGTTGGCAGGGTGCTGTCCAAGTAGGCCTAAGCCTGTTGTTTGAGGTCCTGCTCCAGGTCCACCTGATGCTGCTGCTGCTGCTGCGGGCTGGTTAGTAGTTTCCTCACTGCGCTGGTGAAGAAAGCTACTCATCATCGACTGCAGACTGAGGCAGCCGCTGCTGGTGGAGCTGCCACTGCTCCTACCACCCCACCCCTCCCCTGCTGCCATGGCAGCGGAACACGAGCGCACAGGGCCCACAGTGTCTGAGGATGGACGTTGGCGCAGACAGGCAGAGACCAGCTGACTACATAGGTGTTTTTTTATAGTACGTTATTTTGGGCCTCCCTCTCAGCAGGTGTGAAAAAGGCCACCATTTTTGAACGGTAGCGAGGGTCCAACAAGGTGGACAGCCAAAAGTCATCCCTCTGTCTGATGGTTATTATTCGGCTGTCGCTACGCAAGCAACCGAGCATGCTATGGGCCATTTGTGCCAAGGAATGCGAGGGACTCCCTGCCTCCATCTCCACAGCATACTGCCACGGTGCGTCTAGGTCCTCTGTCTCCTCTTCCTCCTCCTCTACCAGATGCTCCTGCTCCTCCACTCCTGTCCTGAGTGGAAAAAAAACCCATTTCACTCAATAATTCCTGAGCACCAATGTCCTCCTCTACCTCCTCCTCTTCTTTCCAGTCCTGCCCCCACAGGGGCCATGTGGCGTTGAGATCTGTGCGCCACGTCTACCGCACCCTGACCAGCCATTGTTAACAGCATTTGTTCCAGGACGTGCAACAGAGGAATGACGTCGTTCATCCCATAGTCCTGCCGACTCACGAATAGCGTGGCCTCAAAGGGCCTGAGCAAGCGCAGGTGTCACGCATGAGCTGCCAATGGCTGACATCTAAGTTACACAGGGAGTACCTTTATCTGCTTTTAACATCAGGAAATCTGTGATGGCCTTTTGCTGTTCGTAAAGGCGGTCTAACATATGTAGGGTTGAATTCCACCTTGTTGCAACGTCACAGCATGAGGAGTCGGTATAGGGGCCCATGGCAGATTAGGGGCCTGGCAGCAGTTATGGGAGGCCCATAATCTGCCAGCACCCTATGACAAAAAATGGAACACACCAGCAGTGTGAGGAGACCTGAAAGTGGCACATGGCAGAGTGTGGCGATGGAGACAGCAGCAATGGGAGGCCGTACAGGGACCCATGAGAGACTCTGGACCTGGCAGCAGCATGAGGAGGCGGTATATAGGGGGCCTACGGCAGATTAGGGGCCTGGCAGCAGCTATAGGAGGCCCGTAATCTGCCAGCACCCTATGTCAAAAAATTCAACACACCAGCAGTGTGTGAGGAGACCTGAAAGTGGCACATGGCAGAGTGTGGCGATGGAGACAGCAGCAATGGGAGGCCGTACAGGGACCCATGACAGACTCTGGACTTGGCAGCAGCATGAGGAGGCGGTATATATAGGGGCTTATGGCAGATTAGGGGCCTGGCAGCAGCTATAGGAGGCCCGTAATCTGCCAGCACCCTATGTCAAAAAATTCAACACACCAGCAGTGTGAGGAGACCTGAAAGTGGCACATGGCAGAGTGTGGCGATGGAGACAGCAGCAATGGGAGGCCGTACAGGGACCCATGACAGACTCTGAACTTGGCAGCAGCATGAGGAGGCGGTATATAGGGGCCCATGGCAGATTAGGGGCCTGGCAGCAGCTATAGGAGGCCCGTAATCTGCCAGCACCCTATGTCAAAAAATTCAACACACCAGCAGTGTGAGGAGACCTGAAAGTGGCACACATGGCAGAGAGTGTGGCGATGGAGACAGCAGCAATGGGAGGCCGTACAGGGACCCATGACAGACTCTGGACTTGGCAGCAGCATGAGGAGGCGGTATATAGGGGCCCATGGCAGATTAGGGGCCTGGCAGCAGCTATGGGAGGCCCGTAATCTGCCAGCACCCTATGTCAAAAAATTTACACACCAGCAGTGTGTGAGGAGACCTGAAAGTGGCACATGGCAGAGTGTGGCGATGGAGACAGCAGCAATGGGAGGCCGTACAGGGACCCATGACAGACTCTGGACTTGGCAGCAGCAGCAGGAGGCGGTATATAGGGGCCCATGGCAGATTAGGGGCCTGGCAGCAGCTATGGAGGCCCGTAATCTGCCAGCACCCTATGTCAAAAAATTCAACACACCAGCAGTGTGTGAGAGAGACCTGAAAGTGGCACATGGCAGAGTGTGGCGATGGAGACAGCAGCAATGGGAGGCCGTACAGGGACCCATGAGAGACTCTGGACTTGGCAGCAGCATGAGGAGGCGGTATATATAGGGGCCCATGGCAGATTAGGGGCCTGGCAGCAGCTATGTGAGGCCCGTAATCTGCCTGCACCCTATGTCAAAAAATTTAACACACCAGCAGTGTGAAGAGACCTGAAAGTGGCACATGGCAGCAGAGTGTGGCGATGGAGACAGCAGCAATGGGAGGCCGTACAGGGACCATGACAGACTCTGGACTTGGCAGCAGAGAGGAGGCGGTATATAGGGGCCCATGGCAGATTAGGGGCCTGGCAGCAGCTATGTGAGGCCCGTAATCTGCCTGCACCCTATGTCAAAAAATTTAACACACCAGCAGTGTGAAGAGACCTGAAAGTGGCACATGGCAGCAGAGTGTGGCGATGGAGACAGCAGCAATGGGAGGCCGTACAGGGACCCATGAGAGACTCTGGACTTGGCAGCAGCATGAGGAGGCGGTATATATAGGGCCCATGGCAGATTAGGGGCCTGGCAGCAGCTATGTGAGGCCCGTAATCTGCCTGCACCCTATGTCAAAAAATTTAACACACCAGCAGTGTGAAGAGACCTGAAAGTGGCACATGGCAGCAGAGTGTGGCGATGGAGACAGCAGCAATGGGAGGCCGTACAGGGACCCATGAGAGACTCTGGACTTGGCAGCAGCATGAGGAGGCGGTATATAGGGGCCCATGGCAGATTAGGGGCCTGGCAGCAGCTATGTGAGGCCCGTAATCTGCCTGCACCCTATGTCAAAAAATTTAACACACCAGCAGTGTGAAGAGACCTGAAAGTGGCACATGGCAGCAGAGTGTGGCGATGGAGACAGCAGCAGCATGGGAGGCCGTACAGGGACCATGACAGACTCTGGACTTGGCAGCAGCATGAGGAGGCGGTATATAGGGGCCCCATGGCAGATTAGGGGCCTGGCAGCAGCTATGTGAGGCCCGTAATCTGCCTGCACCCTATGTCAAAAATTTAACACACCAGCAGTGTGAAGAGACCTGAAAGTGGCACATGGCAGCAGAGTGTGGCGATGGAGACAGCAGCAATGGGAGGCCGTACAGGGACCATGACAGACTCTGGACTTGGCAGCAGCATGAGGAGGCGGTATATAGGGGCCCATGGCAGATTAGGGGCCTGGCAGCAGCTATGTGAGGCCCGTAATCTGCCTGCACCCTATGTCAAAAAAAATTTAACACACCAGCAGTGTGAAGAGACCTGAAAGTGGCACATGGCAGCAGAGTGTGGCGATGGAGACAGCAGCAATGGGAGGCCGTACAGGGACCATGACAGACTCTGGACTTGGCAGCAGCATGAGGAGGCGGTATATAGGGGCCATGGCAGATTAGGGGCCTGGCAGCAGCTATGTGAGGCCCGTAATCTGCCTGCACCCTATGTCAAAAAATTTAACACACCAGCAGTGTGAAGAGACCTGAAAGTGGCACATGGCAGCAGAGTGTGGCGATGGAGACAGCAGCAATGGGAGGCCGTACAGGGACCATGGAGACAGACTCTGGACTTGGCAGCAGCATGAGGAGGCGGTATATAGGGGCCCATGGCAGATTAGGGGCCTGGCAGCAGCTATGTGAGGCCCGTAATCTGCCTGCACCCTATGTCAAAAAATTTAACACACCAGCAGTGTGAAGAGACCTGAAAGTGGCACATGGCAGCAGAGTGTGGCGATGGAGACAGCAGCAATGGGAGGCCGTACAGGGACCCATGACAGACTCTGGACTTGGCAGCAGCATGAGGAGGCGGTATATAGGGGGCCCATGGCAGATTAGGGGCCTGGCAGCAGCTATGTGAGGCCCGTAATCTGCCTGCACCCTATGTCAAAAAATTTAACACACCAGCAGTGTGAAGAGACCTGAAAGTGGCACATGGCAGCAGAGTGTGGCGATGGAGACAGCAGCAATGGGAGGCCGTACAGGGACCCATGAGAGACTCTGGGACCATGAGGACTCTGGACTTGGCAGCAGCATGAGGAGGCGGTATATATAGGGGCCCATGGCAGATTAGGGGCCTGGCAGCAGCTATGTGAGGCCCGTAATCTGCCTGCACCCTATGTCAAAAAATTTAACACACCAGCAGTGTGAAGAGACCTGAAAGTGGCACATGGCAGCAGAGTGTGGCGATGGAGACAGCAGCAGCATGGGAGGCCGTACAGGGACCCATGAGAGACTCTGGACTTGGCAGCAGCATGAGGAGGCGGTATATAGGGGCCCATGGCAGATTAGGGGCCTGGCAGCAGCTATGTGAGGCCCGTAATCTGCCTGCACCCTATGTCAAAAAATTTAACACACCAGCAGTGTGAAGAGACCTGAAAGTGGCACATGGCAGCAGAGGCAGCAGTGTGGCGATGGAGACAGCAGCAATGGGAGGCCGTACAGGGACCCATGACAGACTCTGGACTTGGCAGCAGCATGAGGAGGCGGTATATAGGGGCCCATGGCAGATTAGGGGCCTGGCAGCAGCTATGTGAGGCCCGTAATCTGCCTGCACCCTATGTCAAAAAATTTAACACACCAGCAGTGTGAAGAGACCTGAAAGTGGCACATGGCAGCAGAGTGTGGCGATGGAGACAGCAGCAATGGGAGGCCGTACAGGGACCATGACAGACTCTGGACTTGGCAGCAGCAGCATGAGGAGGCGGTATATAGGGGCCCATGGCAGATTAGGGGCCTGGCAGCAGCTATGTGAGGCCCGTAATCTGCCTGCACCCTATGTCAAAAAATTTAACACACCAGCAGTGTGAAGAGACCTGAAAGTGGCACATGGCAGCAGAGTGTGGCGATGGAGACAGCAGCAATGGGAGGCCGTACAGGGACCATGACAGACTCTGGACTTGGCAGCAGCAGAGGATGAGGAGGCGGTATATAGGGGCCCATGGCAGATTAGGGGCCTGGCAGCAGCTATGTGAGGCCCGTAATCTGCCTGCACCCTATGTCAAAAAATTTAACACACCAGCAGTGTGAAGAGACCTGAAAGTGGCACATGGCAGCAGAGTGTGGCGATGGAGACAGCAGCAATGGGAGGCCGTACAGGGACCATGACAGGACTTGGCAGCAGCATGAGGAGGCGGTATATAGGGGCCCATGGCAGATTAGGGGCCTGGCAGCAGCTATGTGAGGCCCGTAATCTGCCTGCACCCTATGTCAAAAAATTTAAACACACCAGCAGTGTGAAGAGACCTGAAAGTGGCACATGGCAGCAGAGTGTGGCGATGGAGACAGCAGCAATGGGAGAGGCCGTACAGGGACCATGACAGACTCTGGACTTGGGCAGCAGCATGAGGAGGCGGGTATATATAGGGGCCCATGGCAGATTAGGGGCCTGGCAGCAGCTATGTGAGGCCCGTAATCTGCCTGCACCCTATGTCAAAAAATTTAACACACCAGCAGTGTGAAGAGACCTGAAAGTGGCACATGGCAGCAGAGTGTGGCGATGGAGACAGCAGCAATGGGAGGCCGTACAGGGACCCATGAGAGACTCTGGACTTGGCAGCAGCATGAGGAGGCGGGTATAGGGGCCTGGCAGCAGCTATGTGAGGCCCGTAATCTGCCTGCACCCTATGTCAAAAAATTTAACACACCAGCAGTGTGAAGAGACCTGAAAGTGAAAGTGGCACATGGCATGAGAGACTCTGGACCTGGCAGCAGCAGGAGGAGGCGGTATATAGGGGCCCATGGCTGATTAGGGGCCTGGCAGCAGCTATGGTGGCACATTGGCTAGAGGGTGTTGTGTGCGATGGAGGACAGCAGCAATGGGAGGGCTTGTGTGGGACGCATGAGAGGATCTGACCTGGGGCAGCCAGCATGAGGAGGCGGGTATATAGGGGGGCCTATGGCAGATTAGGGGCCTAATAAGGCAGCAGTATAGGGGAGGCCCCGTAATCTGCCAGTGGGTGTTGTTTGTAGTGTGCACTTGGTGTCGGAGGGGTGGATGGGGTTGTGGGGAGAGGCAGAGTTCAAAGTGTTGGCGATGGGGGGGGGGGTGTGATTAATTTAGCCGGGTTTTTCATTTTAAACAAAAGTGAGTTTCCACACTTTGGGTGGACGGGTTCGTGCCCTCCGCGGATTTTTCAATACCCCCTCCCGATAAACCGCGCCCCGGGATCCCACGAAATGGCCGGGTGACCCCTTTTTAAAGGGGCAAATTCAAGCTATTTGGGGGCCCAAAAAGGTAAGTTTGTTCCCCAGTATTTGGGGGGGATTGTTACCCCGGTTGGGGGGTTTTGCGGGCCCAAGTGGGCCCCAACCCGGTTTTTTTGGCCCCTGCCCCAGGTCCATGATTGTGCTTGTTTGTGCGGTGGTTAAAGTTTTTTCCAAATGCGGGGTTTAAAGAAAGCTATCATCATCGATGCAGACTGAGGCAGCCGTTTGGGGTTTGGAGCTGCCATGCCCCTACCCCCCCACCCCTCCCTGCTCCCTCCCCGGGAAACGGGGAGCCCCGGGCCCACGTTTTCGGAGGATGGACGTTTGGCGCAAAAAGGCAGGGGCCCAATGATCCCTAGGGGGTTTTTTTATAGTACTTTTTTTTTTGGGCCCCCCTTCAGGGGGGTTGTGAAAAACCCACCATTTTGGACCGGTAGGGGAGGGCCAACAAGGTGGACGCCAAAAGTATCCTCTTTTGGGAAGGTTTTTTATTCGGCTGTCGCTAGAAGAAAAAGGAGAGGGCCTAGGGGGCCAAATTTGTG